CGACCACCAAAGGGGTCGCGACCCACAGGTTGAGAACCGCTGTCTTAGGGACAGTTGGAGAGCCGGTTTCAGCCCAATTCCCACAGGCCAGGCCAAGGGACCCCACCTTCTGGAGGGACCCCGCTCACTCCCCAGATGCCCTTCCCACAGCACCACCCCAGGTGCGGCTGGCTAGGGAGGGACCACGGGAGGTTGGCTCCAGGCGTGTCCGGCCTGTCTCGCCCAGTCCCGCCCCGGCAGCCACCTTCTAATTAATTTCCTTTCAGTGTGCACAAATCCATGTACCAAGCCAACAGTAAAATTATAATGGAGAGGAAGAAGGGAAAGGGCATGCATGTGAGGTTTTGTGCACATATGGCCTTATTTGGGGAGGAAGAGCGGGACAGAGTTGGTAAGAGATTTAAATAATCATCTTCCATAGCCATTAGAGATAAAGTTAGTAAATACTATCTAAAGTTGAAAAATAAAATCAGTTAATGTAGTTTATCAAATTTGATATGTCACCAGTTAAAAGGATTCTGTGTACCGCTTAGAATGGGGGAAAAAAGCTAATTAAACTATGACATAGTTTGACATTGTAAGACCCAAATGTCGCAGAGGTACTAAAATGGAGGGGAGGGAAAAAGGGAGGGGTGATGTAGAAATATAGCAGTGTATTCCATGAGAAACAACAAACTAGTTCAAACAGGTTTTCTCTGTAGAGAAGGCATCAAGGTGGGGAAAAGTGAAACCAGAGGTCGCCATTTCTGTTATCATCTTTTAAAAATAGCTTATGTGTAATTTTAATTAAGAAGTTTTAGACAAATAAACAAACACACAAATGAACAAATAAATTCAATCACAACCTACAATTAAAAGAAGCAAAAAGCTTTCATTGCTCCAGTGCTCATGATGCTGGCTTAAATGATACTTAATGAAACTATTTAGCATAAAAACATTTTGAAATTATCATTATTTTATTACTCAGAATCAACTACAAACTGAGGGGAGAATGCTATATAACAACCCCAAATCACTCTAAAGTTACTGTCTCCATCTTGTGCTCCCTTCTGTCATATGGAACAAAATCTGAAACATAATTGCTTATTTTCCTGTTTTATAGGTACTTCTTTGCCTGTGTTTCTGATACGGTGATTTCTCCTTCCTAATCCTCACTTACTAGGTGCAGTTTACTTAAATATAATGAAACAAGCTCATTTCTTGACTCCTTGGCCTGGAAAAGCATCACTTTATAAATAGAGCACATTGTCGCCTGAGTCATTGGTGCCAGGGTACAGCCATAGGTATTAGCTCCTCAGGCACCTGTCCCACTGCTTGTGGACAACCGATTGATTTGGAATGTGCATGGTACTCTAGTAAGGGTACCAGATTCTTATTAGACCTAAACTCTCCCCTAAGAAAATATGTTTGTTCTGGCCTTCTGGAATATGTAACAGAATGTGACATTCTTCACTTTTCCATGAGTTCAGAAGTATCATTAACTTGTCTCTAAAAAATGAAGAGTCTGGATCTTGGGACAGAGTTCAGACTCTTTCTTGGCTAGAATTTAACCATGATGCCCCATTACACACACACAACAACAACAACAACAACATACAAACACACACACACACACCCACACACACACACACACATACACACACACACACACACACACACACACACACACACTAGTTGATGCCAGGCTATCAAGATCTGAAATGTTACCCCACTTGCCAGCTAACACATCAGCCTGCCAGTTTCATGGATGCTGGCAGAGGCCATGAGACTCCTGGGTCAGAGATAGCTGACTCGACTGCTCACAGCAATGTCAGTAGCTAAATCACCACTTGTACTCACTCCCCAAAGCCCCACTCCCCGGGGCAATGTGAATAGGGTTAGGTGATCTACATAGTAGTCTGCTTTTCAAGGGAAGAACCCAAAGCTTAGAGAACCCAAATCTTTTATTTCAAAATATTTTTATTGTGGTAAAATACACATAACATAAAATTTGCCATTTTAACTCGGTTTGAGTATACAATTCAATGGCACCAAATCTTCTATGTTGGATAATAAACCTGCCAGACTTTTACACCATATGGAGACATTATCTTTATTATACTAGACAATAAACAAACCTTGCCTTTGTTCTACAGCAGGGTTTCTCAATCTCAGCCCTACTGACACTTTGAACTGAATAATCTTGTGTGTATGTGGGGGGGGGGGGGGCTGTTATGTAACAAGATATTTTAGCAGCATCCCTGGCTCCTAGCCATAGATTCTCTCAGCTATAACAATCAAAAAATGTCCTCAGAAATTGTCAAAATCACCTCCAGTTGAGAGTGACTGCTCCCATGAAAGTCACTATCCCTGTTTTTCAGGCCTGTTCACTCTACAAACATCCTTAAAAAGGTAGTCTAGTGCCTCTACTCACAAGATGTGGGGAAACACAAGAGCTCTACAGAGCATTGGCTCCCAACAGAGGTCTTAATATTTACTTCTAAAAATTGATTTGCTTTTCAGGCATCAATAAATTACTTGGCACATGATATTCACACACACACACACACACACACACACACCCTTCTCATTGGACCTTTGACTAAAGTTACAACATGAACCATTTAGATGACAGGAAACCAATTCAAAGTAGTTAACTAGGATTGGCCTGAAAGGGAGTGTGTGTAAGTATCATTTATAGCTAAGCCAAATCATATAGGATGACTACATTTCCTTTCTGATGCAAGAATGTTTTCAATCCCTGGGTTAATCACTGTTTTTTATTTGTTTGTTTGTTTGTTTGCATTTACTACTCTTCTTCTAGATCACTCCTGTGCTTTGAAGTTTGATAGACTTGCATCCAAATCCCAACTCCTTTGACAATACCATCTTGGACAAGTAATTCCACCTATGTGAGCTCCCTTTCTTCCTCTATATAAAGTGGGAATAATAAGACCTGTCTCACAGGGTGGTTATCACAATTACATGAGATAAAAGTGCCTACTACAGTGCCTGGCACTCATAGGTACTTAATGAACAGTACCTATTGTTCCATGAGGACCACCACTAGGGCACATCCTCAGAGCTGTTCTTACTGTAACGAATATTGCTATAATGAATCTTTACGCTAATTTCTCCACACTCTCACTTGGTTTTTGACAATATTTATAACATAGCTGCTTAGGATATAGAGCTAAAGGTCACTAAATCATAGAGAGAATGACTCTACACCCTGACCTGAATAGCAGCTCATGCCAACCACATGGGCCAGATAATCCCAACTCTATTAAATCATAGGGTCAAAGGAGAAAATAATTCTGGCCTTTGTTTACCTGGTTTTATTTTCTTCAAACTGATATAAATTAGTTGAAATTGCTCAGCTTTACCAAGCTGTCTGATCAGTCTCTTTTGCATACTTGTATTTTAATAAGTTAGCACTCTCCAGTCAAATAAGAAATCAAGCTCTGCGGATGAACACTTACCCAAGGCCGCTCAGGTTCCGGCGCTGATCTATGCCCCCTGATCCTTAAACTTATGTGTAAAAAATACCTATCACAAATTTCGTAACTCATTAGGTGCTTAACAAAGAGATTTCTCTTCTGGAAATAATGCTGCGATTCTTTTCTTGATATCTGGCATTCTGACTTTGGAATATAAATTAGTCTTGGTTTTAGCAGCTAATAGGTGTTGTATATTCATGATGATTACCCTTCTCTGTCTTATAATATTTAATAGCAGCTTCACAGAAGACTTAAAATTCCATTTAACCTCAGAAAAAAAAATACCTATCGCTGGAGTTTATGAAAAATTATTAGTTGTAGCCGAGACCGGTTTGGCTCAGTGGATAGAGCGTCGGCCTGCAGACTGAAGGGTCCTAGGTTCGATTCCGGTCAGGGGCATGTACCTGTGTTGCGGGCACGTCCCCGGTGGGAGATGTGCAAGAGGCAGCTGATCGATGTTTCTCTCTCATCGATGTTTCTAACTCTCTATCTCTCTCCCTTTCTCTCTGTAAAAAATCAATAAAATATATTTAAAAAAATTATTAGTTGTAACTAAACCTAGATAATAAATTGGATTTTTGAAATCTGTGGTTTTTTAACACATTGGGCTTTTCATTGGGAAGGTGATACTTATAGAAAATGCCTGTGCAATAACCAAGCAGAAACTGCACTGCCTCACTGTGAAGGCGAATACCATTGAGAAGATCATCTGTGGAATTTGCTGGATTGTGAAATTTGCTTTTTAAAAGGGAAATATCACATAATAGTCAGAGGGCAAGTGGCTATACCTAGTGATTTCTCATTCCCTTGAGCCTCATTCCCTCACCTAAATTCTCCTCCTCCACATGGAATTGTAAGAAACCTGGTTGAATTGTGTTAAAAAGTCTATTTCTGGTATCATTTAGCTAGAATTAACATTGCTTAATCCCTTCTGTAAGCACATGTGTGTAAACACACACATACACACACACACACACACACACACACACACACACACACACTTCCGTGTTCCACTGGCCTAAGAAATAAAATCAATACACACATAGCAAATATTTGAGTTGCATTTATACAAGTACCTAATTTATGACAAAAATTCCAATCACAACAACTTCAAGGACCCGAAAGGAGAAAACATTTTTGTTTTTTAAAAACAAAACCAAACAACAACACCCTGCTTTTCTAAGAGGAGGACTATTTTTGTCGATAAAACCCAAAGCCAACACTCTTTTTTCCTGTGTCAAGTTTCTCCCTCTTTATATCTCATTCTTAACTCCAATCCACCACATTCTTCAATGCTGCTTTTTAAAGATATACCATTTTCCATCATCATCATCATAATAAAAGCCTCCGTCCAAAGGGCTATTCTTTGTGGGAAAACTAAAAAGAAATGAAGGTGTTTTGTTTTGTTTTTAAGGTTTTCAGCCACACTGTACCTGAGAGGGTTTAACTAACATATGAAAAATTTGAAATAAAAAATAGTAGCAATTGGTTTATACATATTTTTATAGGCACGGAGATTACCTGATCAACTGGAATCTCAACCTGAGTGTCTTCATCTTCTTGGACTTCTGCTGCCCCCCGAGTTTCAGATCTTTCTTCTCCAGCTTTGAAAATGCCTTCATCTGTTGAGACAAATACACAGTGAAATCAAAATCCAATTGTGACATCATGTGGCTGCAGGTAGAAATTACACCAAATACCTGAGAAGACTGTTTTGACATAGGTATTTTGGTTCCCTTTGTCTGGACAGGATTTCTGTAGCTCCCCTCCCCCGCAATTCCTCTCCATTTTCATTGGGAAAAGCTGTAATGGCCAAAATAAGGCTCACCCAGCAGAATAGAGATCTGCCCCAGACTCCCCCTCATAGGTTGGCTCAGATATAATAGCACAACACTGTAAAGGTATTTAGATGGAAGAACTTCACACTTACTATCTCTGTTCTACCCTCCTGTTCACAAAACAGTATGATGCTTAATGCTTTAAGATACTATTTTATACGCTTTTCTTTCCCAAGAGAACGTTATGCACTGAATATAACATACTTGAATAATTATCTCTGTTCAAAATAATATATAAAAAGTATTTTTACTGTAACAGAATCATAGAGCTGACTCTGTATCGCACACAAATCAATCTTTTGTTTTGAAGATTTCCACAGGATTTTTACAATCTATTTTTAAAATCCCTAATTATTAATGTAACCTAAATCTCTAAGACTTTAGGTTAAGCATCTTTGACTTGTTTTCCTGTGGAAGCAAAAGGAGCTATTTTCCATATTTGAAAGAGTTTTAACGTCTTACCCCTCAGTCTTCTCTTCAGGCAAAAAAATCACAGAACCATGGGTCATTATGTCTGCCTATTTGCCTCACTCACAGATGTCTCTCTGTCCAATTTTTAAGGATCTCCAGGGATGGAGAGTTCCCTTCCTTGTTGGTAATCTATTTCACCATGTGCTACCCATAAGGTCTAGAAAATGTTTTTATCTTTTTTATTAAAACCACCTCTATTTCTCCAAAGAATGCTTATTTCTTAGAGCACAATTATTTAACATCTTTCCATCATAATATTTCATGTTGTTAAATAATGAAATCATTCTTAAAATATAAAAATATATTTTTATATTTAACATATAAAAATATGTTTTATATACGTTAGGGGCTAATTATATGTAAGGCACAATGTGACACACTAAGACAGTGGTTCTCAACCTTCCTCATGTTGTGGTGACCCCCAACCATAAAATTATTTTCATTGCTACTTCATAACTGTAATTTTGCTACTGTTGTGAATAGTAATGTAAATATCTGATATGCTATATGTGTTTTCCGATGGTCGTGACCCACAGGTTGAGAACCACTGCTCTAAGATGTGAGTGGGATGTAGAGTGTTCCCTGAAGACGACTACAGACCAGTGCAGAAACAGAGATATAAACACAACAGAGTGCTGTAATAGAGCAGGGCTACAGCAGAGCCCTATGGGGCAGAGCCCTATGGAGCTTAGAAGATATAGCCAGGTGAGGAAAGGAAGGAGGGAGGGAGGGAGGGAGGGGAAAGAGAGTGGGAGAGAAAGAGGGAGGGAGATAAAACCCAGCTCAGCTCCTTTTGGTTCCTCCTAAAGAAACCATGTTGCTTTTTAATTACTTCTTTTGTAACTTGAGTGAATGATGGCTTCTCTACTCTCCTTTTTTAAAAACTGGGGATAGCAGAGCTCCACTCACAGCTGATTCTACATGTTAAATTAATTCACATGGATTAATTCATTTAGAAGATTATCTACAACAATAATTTAACCCCAGACTGGATTTTCCTATCCTCCAACAAAATAGTTTCACTCTCTTTCCTTCCATCAGGTCTTGTATGCTTTCGCAAAGCAGAGCAATGCTTCACTCACTAGAATGGTCTCAGTTAAATCACCCTACATGTATATGTAAACTGCAAATAGACATACATAACAGGATACACTACAAAATCATTACCCAGGGATGACTTCAGCATTGGCAGCTATTTTGGATTATCTCTACAACTAACGCCCCCTTCCCCCCTAGGACAAGGCCCACACAGCATGTCAAGGATTATGTCCTGACTCTGATGTTTCTCACAACTGAGGACATGGATCCAAAATGACACTGCAGCCAAAAGTTCAGTGATACCAGAAGAAAGAAAGCAGAAAATAAAACAGAGGCTGTGGTGGTGCTCTCACACATGCAGGCCTGGAGTAAATGCTGAGCTTGCCGTGCACTCAACAAAGCACAGGGTGGGACATTCTGAGGGACTAGTAAAACAACTTTCAATCACTGTGTCCTAAAGGCGGAAAGTGAAAGGGAGGAATCCAAGCCTACAAAATTGGAATCAAAGGAACAGGGTAAGGAGATACATGTCAAATTCTGGAACTTGGAACTCAAGGAAATAAAAATAGAAACAATAAAATAAAAAATCTGCTCTATTCACATGTGGAGTTCATAACTTAGAGATGCGCAGAAGCAGAAGAAACTAATTTCAGAAAAGGGTTATACAATTTGTTAACTGTTACCTTCAAAAGGGTTTAAGAAGGAAAATGAGGTATGTTTGACTTCCTACCTTCTCAATTACCTTAGGAGATAACACTCACTCTCACCCACAAAATGTGCCTTGAGTTAACCTTCAGAGGCAGATATGGGATTCATTAGACTATAGCTATGACCTCTGTGCATGACTTTTTTGGATGATATTTTTGTATCCAAGTTTTGCACTTGCTTTCAAAGAGACCACAAAGAGAAGCTACAGATACAACAGAAATATATTCTTAAAAACTCACAGTCGATGAAATGTTTAACTGTATCCAAGCAGTGCTATGAATGGCTTGCAGATGTGTTTTAGAATAAAAATTTCACCAGAAAAGAAGAACAAGATCAATAATCACGAATAAAATAGAATTGAAAGTGCACTGGAATGGAAAATGGCAACCATAAGGAAATAAAGAGCAGAGAGCAAAGCTCACCCTGTGTACAGGAGCACAGAGAGAATACAGAGGTAAAAGGGTCTGGCTAAGGGGGGGTGGGGGGGGGAGACTGAGAGGTGTGAGCACAGACACAGAAATGAGGTCAGAAAGAAATCCGTAAGAATAAATGGTGAGGAAAAAAGGAATATCAGCTAGAAAGTTACTGTGATAGAAGAAAGCCTCTTGGGATTTAATATTTAACTATAAATGTTATATATAGTTAAATATTTTAAATAGCATTTTATGACTATAAATATGTTTATATAATACATATGCATTTTAGAAAACTTGGAAGATGAAGAAGATAATCTTCTTTTAATCTTATGACCCAGAGATAATCACTAATATTTTTAAAACAGACATTCTCCCCCCCCACACACACACACACATTCATAAAACTGGGACCATATTATATACACTGAGTGGCCAGATTATTATGACCATCTGACGTTTGTAGGCAAATTAGCTATAATTTCGTGCTGAAGTTGCTAAAGGGCCATACCATTATAAATAGGGAAGCAGGTTGTTTACCACAACAGTAGAAGTGATTTTTTTCTGAAGATATGGGTAAACAACGCGATTTAACAGCCTTTGAACATGGGATATATTTGAATGTGAGTGGCCAGATTATTATGACCACCTGATGTTTGTAGGCAAATTAGCCATACACTGCATTGTATGGGATATGGAAGCCGAAGGCCTGTTCGAACACCTTTGCTGTCTGCAGTTACCGAGATAAAACGTCTCCAATTCACACAGGAACACAAGGATTGGACAGTCGAGCGTTGGAAAACTCATGTGGTCCGATGAATCACATTTCCAGTTGCATCATGCAGATGGCAGAGTGAGAATTTGGCGGAAACAGCATGAAAGCATGTACCCCCACATGTATGAGTACAACCCTTCAAGCTGGTGGGGGCAGTGTTATGGTTTGGGGCATGTTTTCCTGGCATGATTTGGGCCCTTGAATTCATGTGGAAGAACGTCTGAATAGCACAACATACCTAAGTATCGTTGCTGATCAGGTTCATCCTATCATGTTGATGGTGTATCCCAATGGAAATGGCTTTTTCCAACAAGACAATGCGTTATGCCACGGTGTTTGTATTGTGCAGGAGTGGTTTCAAGAACATGAGGGAGACTTTACCTTGCTTAGGTGGCCCCTACAATCACCAGATCTCAATCCAATTGAGCATTTGTGGGAATAAATTAAAAGAGCCATCAGGCAGCTGGTTCCAAAACCATCAAATCTCACAGAACTGGACAGTGCTATTCATCAGGCACGGTGTCAGATTCCTCACATCACCTTTCAACATCTTGTGGCGTCAATGCCAAGAAGAATCACTGCAGTATTGAAGGCAAAAAGTGGCCCAACAAAGTACCGATGGGGTGGTCATAATAATCTGGCCACTCAGTGTATATATTAGAGGCCCGGTGCATGAAATTCATGCATGGAGGGGGGTTCACTCAGCCCAGCCTGCACCCATTCTAATCAGAAACCCTTCAGGGGATGTCCAACTGCCGGTTTAGGCAATCGGACACCCCTCTCACAATCTGGGACTGCTGACTCCTAACCACTCACCTGCCTGCCTGCCTGATTGCCCCTAACCCCTTTGCCTGCCTGCCTGATTGCCCCCTAACCCCTCTGCCTGCCTGCCTGATCACCCCTAACTGCCCTCCCCTGCCAGCTGATCTCGCCCCCAACTGTTCTCCTCTGCTGTCCTGATCTTGCCCCCAATTTCCCTCCCCTGACAGCCTGGTTACCCCCGACTGCCCTCCCCTGCCAGTGTGATCTCGCCCCCAATGCCCCCCCCCCTTGCCAGCCTGATAGAGCCCCTAACTGCTCTCCCCTGCTGGCCTGATCACTCCTAACTGCCTCTGCCTGCCTGATTGCCCCTAACTGCCCTACCTGCCAGCCTGATCTCGCTCCCAACTGCCCTTCTCTGCCCGCCAATTTGGTTCTGATTGGTCAGTTTCTATGCCAGTCAGCATCAAAAGCTCTGCCTCCTAGGCAGCCATTGGCTCCTCACAGTAGACCCAGATTTGGTTCTGACTGGTCAGTTTCTATGCCAGTCAGTGTCAAAAGCTCCACCTCCTAGGCAGCCATTGGCTCCTTACATTAACCCAAGTTTGTTCTGATTTTCA